TTGGGAGGCAGAGGCAGGCGGATCTCTGTGAGTTTGAGGCCAGCCTGGTCTACAAGAGCTAGTTCCAGGACAGGAACCAAAAGCTACAGAGAAACCCTGTCTCGAAAAATCCAGAAAAAAAAAAAAAAGAAGAAGAAAAGAAAGGAAGGAGAAGGCCGGGTGGTGGTGGCGCACGCCTTTAATCCCAGCACTTGGGAGGCAGAGGCAGGCGGATCTCTGTGAGTTCGAGACCAGCCTGGTCTACAAGAGTTAGTTCCAGGACAGGCTCCAAAACCACAGAGAAACGCTGTCTCGGGAAAAAAAAAAAAAAAGGAGGGAAGGGAAGGAAGGAAGGAGAAAGAAAATGGAGTAGTATTTCTCTTTGCCTAGAGCATTGTGTGTGGATGTGTGCTAAAATGGCCTGGTATTGGACCTGGTGGCACAGACCTGGAGTCCTCACTGCTACAAAGGCCAAGACAATTCTCTTATTGCAAGTTTGGTGCCTGCCTGGTGAACTTAGTGAAACTGCCAAAAAAGAATAAGAGAAAAGATGCTGATATATAGTTCATAGTTTCATTTATTTCTCTGGCATGTGAGAGGCTATAGATTCAACCCATTGCATTCAGGTACTCACTGAGGCAGAAACTGAAATTTAGAATTCAAAGCCAGCCTGGGATACATAGTAATACCGTTTCTGGGGGAAAAGAGAGAGAGAGAGAGAGAGAGAGAGAGAGAGAGAGAGAGAAATCCAAACAAAAGACAATGGATCTGGAACTGGCTTACAGACAATTGTGAGCCACCATGTGGATGCTGAGCACCACTACGATGAGTATGAGGTGGAGAGATGGGGAGAGAGGCACAACGGCTTGGGCTCTAGGAAAAGGGGCAGACCTGGAGGCCGGAGGTGTGAGAAACAGCCTGATATGTATGGAATGCCTGCACTCCCATATCCACGGTGACATCTGGGCCTGTGTTGCCGCTGAGGGCCATGTCTGAGTCCGTGGCCCTGCTGCAGCCTGTGTTGATGTTGATGTAACAAGGCCTATGTTACCATCCCAGGGCCTTGCTGAGCTGGCCCTGCCTCTCGCCTGGGAAGTGAGGAAGACCTGGCACCAGTAGCATGGGTCCAGGAGGGCTAGGGGGCAACCAGCTCATCTACCCCCCCAGGCTTTGAGTTGGCCTACCCCAATATCTATTCCATCTTTGAGCTGCTGGAACTGGTGTAGGGGCTGGACCTCTGGATCTCCTTGACTCTAGGCAACAGCAGAATAACTAAGAGGAGTCTTGGTGAGGGTCCAGTATTGATGGTGTAGCAGAAGCCACAGACCTTGAACCAGACCAACAACTCATTGCAATGAACATTTGTAACTAAAGATGTTTGGGCTGAAGGGTATCCTGGGTGACACCGCAGCATCCAAGGCCACTACAAGCACCATAACTAACTAATATGTGATGGAAAAATGAGAGGCAGAGGAGCACAGTGGTACCCGGCAGAGCTAGAGAGCGACAGCAGCCATGTGAGAGAGGCTGTGGCTGCTGGGGGCGCAGGGTGTGTCCAGAGGGGTCGGAGAGATGCTTTTTTTTTTAATTTTTATTTTCCTTGGGGGGATTTACAAGGGAGGAGGGCGGATATGGAAAGACTGGGAAATAAGTGGAATTGGGGTCCATGATGTGAAATTCTCAAAGAATCAATAATAAAAAAATTCTTTTAAAAAAAGCATATAACTATAACTCAGAATTCGAGAAGTAGGAGGATTTCAATTTTGAGGCCAGCCTAGGATATATATTGAAACCCTAGGCCCCATATTAAAAGAGCAAAAAAAGGGGGCTGGAGAGATGCCTCTGTGGTTAAAAGCACTGGCTGCTCTTCCAGAGGTCCTGAGTTCAATTCCCAGCAACCACCTGGTGGCTCACAACCATCTGTAATGAGATCTGGCGCCCTCCTCTGGTGTGCGGGCATACATGGAGACAGAATGTTGTATACATAATCAATAAATCTTTTTTTTTTAAATGTCTTAAATAGAAATAAAAGTCAGAGCCAAGCAGTGGAGACAAATGCCATTCATCCCAGCACCCAGGAGCCAGAAGCAGGCAGATCTATGAGTTTGAGGCCAGCCTGGTCTACAAAGTGAGTTCCAGGACAGCCAGGGCTACACAGAGAAACCCTGTTTGTTTTAATCAGATGCATGAAGACCTGAGTTCAAAACACCAGTAGCTATGCAAAAAGCAAAAAGCACGGCTGCATAAGCTTTCTAACCCCAGACGTGGTGATAGAGATAAGTGGGTCCTCTGGCCTCAGCATGCATGGGCACAGGTGTCCATACATGAATGCTTCAACTAGAGGGGATCAACAGGCTTGCAAGAGACTGGTTAATAGAGGGTTAATGCTAAGCAGGAATGGCAGTGGGTAACTTGGTGTACAGGAATGTGCACCTGTATTCATATGGAGACCAAAGGAAGACACCGGATGTCTATCACTCTCTGCATTTTTCCTTTGAGGCAGGATCTTACTGAATCTGAAGTTTGCCTTTCTGGAGTAGGCTGGAAGTCAGCAGTGATCCTCTTGTGCCCACCTTATTCAGTGCTGGAACTGATCCTAGCTTTGTTTATTTGTTTGATTTTTTTTTTCAAGACAGGGTTTCTCTGTGTAGCTCTGGCTGTCCTGTAACTTGCGCTGTAGACCAGGCTGGCCTTGAACTCACAGAGATCCATCTAGTGCCTGGCTTTTTTGTAGGTGCTGAATGAATTCCAGTCTTCATGTTTGCACATCTCTCTAGACCCTTCAAGTGCATTAAGAATGAGATATTGGGCCGGGCAGTGGTGGCGCATGCCTTTAATCCCAGCACTTGGGAGGCAGAGGCAGGCGGATCTCTGTGAGTTCGAGGCCAGCCTGGTCTACAAGAGCTAGTTCCAGGACAGGAACCAAAAGCTACAGAGAAACCCTGTCTCAAAAACCAAAAAAAAAAAAAATGAGATATTGGGGGGCTGGAGAGATGGCTCAGTGGTTAAGAGCACTGCCTGCTCTTCCAAAGGTCCTGAGTTCAATTCCCAGCAACCACATGGTGGTTCACAGCCATCTGTAGTGAGATCTGGTGCCCTCTTCTGGCCTGTAGGCACACATGTGGACAGAATACTGAGCATACTATATAATAAATAAATAAATAAATAAATAAATAATAAAAAAGAATGAGATATTGGGGTGGAAGAGACAGAACGTAGACACCAAGGCAGACATTTGATGTCTACCTTCAGGACAACATGGAAGTCTGACAGAAGGAAGTAAGTCAGTGTTGGATATGAGTTTGTGTGGGCCCATATTTCATACACAACATTTGCAGGCAGGCTCTCTGGCCATGCTTAATTTCCAAGGCAGCTGCAATCCTGCCAAACAAGCTAGCCACCTGACAAAGGCCAGGATGTATGGCTCCTTCTCCTTTGTTAAAATGTAGATCACCTGGGGAGAGGTGTTGTTTCCAAGGCTGGTGATTTTCTGTAGTCCCTCGTTGTCCCCCAGAAAGAGAATATTAATGAGTATCCACCTTGGTTTACCTGGGGGATAAAAGGTGTTTTGTATAATAAACACAGGTAGATCTTCAGGAATGGATGAAGCCTGAGATACCCTTCCATTATGACTGTGTCTCATTATTTCTTGCGCCTCCATACCGGTCCAGTTAGGGAAAAAGTTTCTACGTTGGGGCGTATGGACCCTCACAAGTTTGAGGTACAGAGAGGAGACGTGTTCCTGTGATATTTAGTGAGCAAACAGACACGATCTTGAACTCCAATATGTGTCTGGGGTGGAGCTGACACAAGGAGCTGTAAGCGTAGGTGTGCAACTGGAGCCCTGGGAGTGTGAGAGCCATAGAGAACATGTGAAGGTCTGAGAGAATCAGGCTTGTAACAGAATTTTGGGGATGCGATTACGGATGAATAGGTGGAGGGGTTGGGGAATGTGGGTTGGTGGTAGAGTGCTGGCCTCGCATACAAAAGGCCCTGGGTTTAATCAGCAGTGAAAACAAAACTGAAAGGTGGGACATGCTGAAGCTCCAGTGGAAGAGCGACTAAAAGGATGGGACGAAAATAAGAATATTTCAGAGTGTGGAAAGCAAGAGTGCAGTTCAGGATCTTAGAATATGCATCAGTACCGTGCAGTCCTGTGTACACACGTTTCTCATGCTGGGCTGCAAAGTCTAGAAGCGTAGGTACTCTACTGGCCTTGTTCATTAGTTTACCCTGGTTTCTTCTGCATATTATCCAGCACCTGGTGGATAGTAAAGGATACATAAGGGAAAATAGGGGGTATATAGAGAGGAGGCGAGCAGGCCTGCTTTTCATCCCGCCCGGCTCCCATATGGCTAGCTTAGCCCCGGAAATAACAACAAACTGTATTCATTTAAACACTGCCTGACCCATTAACTCTAGCCTCTTACTGGCTAACTCTCACATCTTGATTAACCCATTTCTATCAATGTGTGTAGCACCACAAGGTGGTGGCCTACCGGGAAGATTCTAACCTACATCCATCTTGGGCCGGAGCTTCATTGCGACTGCCTCACTGCCTTCTATCCAGCATCCTGTTTGTTTACTCCACCCACCTAATTTTCTGCCCTATCAAAAGGCCAAGTCAGTCTCTTTATTAACCAATGAAAGTAACACATAGACAGATGACCCTCCTATATCAGGAGTACTCACCAGACTGGGTAAAGTGCTCTTTCTAATGCATGTGTTCTAAACTGCACTTCATTTCAAGCTTTGTGACCAATGATGAATAAAAGGGGTTTGGAACTTGGGACCTTGGAAGTTCTGTAACTAAGACATGGAAGTAACAACAGCTAGTCAAGACAAAAAGAATGTTCCTTTCTTTCCCCTTCCAAGTTCTTAGTGAAGGGCCAAGCCCAGGATCCCAGACTTGTGTGACTAGGTAAACATTAAGGAGACTACCTTCACTTGGGTACCCTCCCTTTGGTGGCTCAAGGTGGCTTCTCAGTAGCAAAGCTCCCCACTTGCGCAAGTCTAGCATCATGGGGAAGGGAGACACCTCAGAAATAACATCAGTTACCCCAGCCTATCGCTCTATCATGGAAGAGTATGGTTATGAGGTGGGCAAGGTCATTGGCCATGGCTCCTATGGAACAGTCTATGAGGCTTACTACACAAAGCAGAAGGTCATGGTGGCTGTCAAGATCATCTCAAAGAAGAAGGCCTCTGATGACTATCTTAACAAGTTCCTACCGCGTGAGATACAGGTCAGAAAGGGAGCTGAAAGAGGGAACTGGGGCTCATTCATAAGCTACTTGAGGTATCTTAGGGGTATAACTATAGAAAAGGGGTGGAACCGAAAGTCTGAGGTAGGGGAATCCTGTAACGTATATACACATACATATGCTCTTCCTTATGTACAAACATCAGCCCACTATCCATCCCCCCCCCAAGTTAAAATGCAAAGTGGAATTTACCTGGACACCAGCTGATTCTGTTGCAAAGTTGTAAGTAGCAATGGGAGAGTAGAGGAAGGCCAGCACAGCCAGATTTGCCAGGTTTGACGGTTCCCTCTTTTGGGATCAGGTAATGAAAGTCCTACGGCACAAGTACCTCATCAACTTCTATCAGGCCATTGAGACCACATCCCGAGTATACATCATTTTAGAGCTGGCTCAGGGTGGTGATGTCCTCGAATGGATCCAACGATATGGGGCCTGCTCTGAGACCCTTGCTGGCAAGTGGTTCTCCCAGATGGCCTTGGGCATCGCTTACCTGCACAGCAAGGGCATCGTGCACCGGTGAGCATAGTCACTGGCCTGGGCTTGGGCTCTCAAGAGGGTTTTATGCATATTGCAGATTTTCTGTCCTTTTCTCTTGACTTCTCTCCATATCTAGGTCCATACGGTCACCCTATTGTAATCCTCTGGTCGAGGACACTTGTATCCACTGTGTGAGAACACTTTATACACAGTGGTGAACTAGTGGTCCTCAGGTACCATGGTACCATCCTCTCTCCCTTTTGGGCTCTGTTCACAGTTCACAACTCCATGGCTCTGCAGCCTTTTTTTTTTTTTTTTTTTTGAGATGGGATTTCTTTGTGTAGCCCTTGCTGTCCTGGAACTCACTCTGTAGACCAGGCTGGTCTCAAACTCAGAGATCCGCCTGCCTCTGCCTCCTGAATGCTGGGATTAAAGGCATGCATCACTACTGCCTGGCCCCTCTTTACTTCTCATAAACATCCCTCTCCCACTTCTCCTGTCCTCATCTCTATCTAGTCTCTGGCCCCTTTCCTTTCAGCTCCCGGTCTAACACTCAGCCCTCTCCCCAGCCTGACCCCCAGCCTTTCTGCTGCTGGTAGGGACTTAAAGTTGGAGAACCTGTTGCTGGACAAGAGGGAGAATGTGAAGATATCGGACTTTGGCTTCGCCAAGATGGTGCCTTCTAGCCAGCCTGTGCGTAGTAGCCCTTCTTACCGCCAAATGAACGGCCTTGCCCACCTCAGCCAGACCTACTGCGGCAGTTTTGCTTATGCCTGCCCGGAGATCTTGCTGGGCTTGCCCTATAACCCTTTTCTGTCCGACACCTGGAGCATGGGCGTCATCCTCTACACTCTAGTGGTTGCACGTCTGCCCTTTGATGACACCAATCTCAAGAAGCTGCTGAGAGAGACCCAGAAGGAGGTCACATTCCCATCTAACATCAACATCTCCCAGGAGTGCAAGGTGCTGGCTCCCCCAGGAGGGCTGAGGCCTTAAGGATGGTCCATGGGGAGGGGAAGTAAATACCAAGTTTAGACTTCCCAACTCCCCCTACCCTGGGGTGGCAGGGGAGGGGCGCTTTTCTCATGCTAGAGCTATCTCTAGTTCCTGCTAAAAATGGTGGGGAGGACTTAAGAGGGCCAACCACTGAACTTCAAACCTTAAATACGCTTGATAAGGGGGCTGGAGAGATGGCTCAGAGGTTAAGAGCACTGGCTGCCCTTCCAGAGGTCCTGAGTTCAATTCCCAGCAACCACATGGTGGCTCACAACCATCTGTACTGAGGTCTGGCGCCCTTCTCTGGCATGCGGGCATACATCAAGGCGTATGTTGTATACATAATAAATAAATCTTTAAAAAAATACGCTTGATAAGTAGGTTTCAGTGTTGATCGCTATAGGGCAGAAGAGATGCAAGGAGTGCTTCTCTTTTCTTGCAGGGCTCCAGCATAAAACAAGGGCCCCAGCTCCTTTTACCAGGGTAGGGTGATGGGCTGTCCTGCTTCTTTCTTAGGTCCAGCGGCTCACTGCCTGTCTGGCCCAAAGTGGGGCACACTCAGTCAAGCTCTCTCTCTCCCCTGCCCTAGAACCTGATCTTCCAGATGCTACGCCAAGCTACCAAGCGTGCCACCATCCTGGATGTCCTCAAGGACCCCTGGATGCTCAAGTTCCAGTCTGAGCAACCCACGAATGAGATCAAGCTGCTCGAGGCAATGTCTCAGCACGTCAGCAACACTAATCGCCACCAATCCTTGGAAATCACAGCTTGAAAAGGGCTGAGGTGGGAGCTGAGGAGAAAAGCTGGAGGGTCTTGGGGGGAAATCTTTTATATAAAAAATAAATCTAATTAGTTTCATCATGTAGGGTCAAAGGCATTCCTTCCTCAACAGTCTTAGTGGAGGACATACCAAGGGTGAATTTCTGCCCAAAGCCTGGAACCCGTGCCCTTGACACATGGAAAATGAATGGAACTGACTTGGGGAAACTTTGAGATGTCAGCTAAGCTTCTGGCTCTAGTTTCACATTTTTGTTCTCTAATGTTCCAGCAGCAGATGGGACAAGGAGGGAAAAGCCTTTATTGCTCTGTTTGACTCTGGCTCTGCCCATTTACAACCAAAAGCTATAGCACTGTTCTTTCGGGTTTGTGTTTGCTCCCAACTTGGGTGAAAGTTTCAATTGCAGAGAAGCTAACAAGGAAAGGACAGGCCTGTTTCTAGATGCTCGTGCTGCCTGCTGACGTGCCCCAGAAAAACATCAGGGCTTACTTAGTGTCTCGGCGCCCTCTTCCTCTGGGATCACTTTATCAAGTACGGAGAGAAGGCCAGGGACCCAGGGCTCCCAGACACTGAAGTCACAGAGGCCAAGCCTCGTGGACTGTGAATTCTGGACAAAGGAAAGCCACTCGCCCCTGCAGAAGACAGTGGCGTATGACTGAGCCAAGGCAATGGGAAAGACTCAGACTGGCTCCTCATAATCTCATTTCCTCTCTTCTCTCCCCTCCTCCGCTTCTTTCCTCCTTCAAGTATCCTAGAACTCCCTCTGTAGCTCAGACTAGCCACAGCCTAGTGCTGTGGATTACAGGCTTGTCCCACCGTGTCTGGCTATCAACATGTTTCTAAGATAATTTCCCCCTCTTCCCAGTTATTGATTGATTGATTGATTGATTGATACACAGGGCATACCCTGGCTATGCAGCCCTGGCTGGTCTGAACTCAGATCTGTCTGCCATTGCCTGCTTGGGTGCTGAGGTTAAAAGCATGGGCCCCACACCTGGTGTTGATGGCAATTTCATAACCTTAGGCAACTCCATGATAAACAAATTGAAAGATAAAATTGCCCGGAACATAGTCTGAAATACTGGAAATGGCCATTTGTTTCCCCAGCTTCCCTTCATTCCTTATTGTGTTTTACTACTTAAAACAAGGCTCGGAGCCGGGCGGTGGTGGCGCACGCCTTTAATCCCAGCACTCGGGAGGCAGAGGCAGGCGGATCTCTGTGAGTTCGAGACCAGCCTAGTCTACAAGAGCTAGTTCCAAGACAGGCTCCAAAACCACAGAGAAACCCTGTCTCGAAAAACCAAAAAAAAAAAACAAGGAGGAAGAACCTCAAGAGTAGACAAGACATACAGACACTAGGTATCCACCTATCCAGTTTTGCTGGAGACAAAAATCAGTCTAACCAAAAAGAAGGGAGTTCAGGGGTTCTTCCTGCAGCAAGATCCTTCTTCAAAGTTCAGCCAAAGAAGGGAGAACAATGGGCCCTTCTCAGACAGCCACACTTCCTCTGCAGCAGGGAATTCCAAAGCTATGCTCCCTTAGCTCTCAGAGTTTGCACAGCAACAGAAGACAGAGTCTTAGGATGTCCAGCCTGCCAACTGCTTCAGTGCTTCTTTGTCTTCATTTTTTCTGGAAGGTTTGGGGGGGGGTACCCAGAAAAGAGAAGTATTAAAGCCTTAAAACCTCCAGCCATGGCCAGGCGGTGGTGATACATGCCTTTAATCCCAGCACTTGGGAGGCAGAGGCAGGCGGATCTCAGTGAGTTCGAGGCCAGCCTGGTCTGCAAAGTGAGTTCTAGAATAGCCAGGACTGTTACACAGAGAAATCCTGTCTCAAAAAACAAACAAACGAAAACCCCTCCAGCCAACTCCTGCTCTGACACCTACATAGAGTCTGCTGAATTGTCTCTCTCCAGCAAACGGACAGATGAACCCCCAAACCTAAAGATGTGCTCCTTATGCCTGATGATGCTCATTCCCACAGTACCCCAGTACCAAGGGGGAAAACAAACAACAGGTCTATCACTTGCATTTGCACCCGTAAATGAGGATGCACAACTTGCTGAGGGGTGCACAGGCTGGATTGTGGGCTTCCATCCCCACTCCCTTTCAGTCAGATGCTGTAATGCAGTCAGCAGTCTGTATAACTTGGCAGCAGCTTGACGAAGCAGATAATACAGACAGTAATGATAATGCAGTAACCTTACCTCTCCTATCTTTCACCCTCTCAAGTCTTTAACAAAGAGTTCTGGGTAACTGGCCCTGCAAGCAGATGTGTGTAAGGTACACCAGACAATCTGATCGGGGGTTCTTCCTCCTTGTTGCCCACAGTTAACAACTTCTGAGTTAATTCCTCTTGCTCCAGTTCCTCCAAATCTTGAAGCAATTCATCCCGGACACAGGATGACAAGATTGGTCAAGACCAAGAAAACAACCAGTCCCCAAAGACTCACTTTTGAGTGTCCCTCCTAAAGCTGTTCCAAGAGTCTCTCTTGAGTTTCCTTCTAAGCAGTCCAGTGCTTTTTCCGATATTCTCTGACCCCTCACCCTGGTCACCTCATCCACACCATCTCCAAAACCCTAGGGCGAGGAATGGCATCTGATACCTGCTGGGCCAGCTCCTGTTGTTCTGTGATGTCAGCCAGCAGTTCCTCTACCCTGTCAGTGTCACTAAGAACAAGACACACTGCCAAGGAATCAGGGAGGCACCCTCCCTCCAAGTTGCCCCAAGCCCCTAGCCACCATTGGCTTTCTCGTCTCACACAAATGAAGGTTTTCCATCATATGGCTCACACTGGATTTTATGAAGCTTTAAAAAGGATCGAGTTTTTCTTGCCCAGAATGCCCTGGCCAGCGTGAAGAAAGCAAGGAGGTAGTCTAATCATCATGATGCATGTTCTGTCTGAGAAGCTTTAGAAATCCAAAGTGAGGGCTGGAGAGAAGGCTCGGTTAAGAGGACACAAGCTTGATTCCCAGCACCCACATGAGGCTGCTTACAACTGTCTGTTGACTCCAGCTCCAAGGGTCCGATACCTTCTCTGGTTTCTGTGGACACCCACCCCCCCACTTCATAAACACACACAAACATACACATAGACACAAATAAATATTAAAAAAAAGCCAAAACTCTCAGAGGTGAGGACCGGCTTTGACAAAATCACCCCTTACCAGGGTAGCAGCATGGGAATTTTAGAAATATAAGTAAAGACTATGAAGATGCATAAAAATAAGACAGAAACCATAGAACAGTACAGGGAGGGTATTCCAGTGATTACTAAAATCCGGAAATCACCCATGTTTATTTTCACAATTTTTATACCAAACGTAAACGGGGTAGGGGAGGGGGTAGAAGGAAACACAAGACTTTATTAACATGATACAGAGGATAACTCACACAGTCAGTCGCTTTATCACTCTGAGACATCAAATCATCAGCATTTTGTTGTCTAGGTAGCTAAACTGCTCCAGATCACTACGCTGAAGGCTGCCCATCCCCAGGTGATCTCATAGTTACCAAAGGAGCAGAAAGAAGTATGTTTGTACCTCCTGATCGTCTGTCAGGATTGAATGGAACTATGTTAATGTCAAGAGAATCAAGCAGTCACATCCTGAGTTGGGACGTGCAGCTATGCTTGTCAACCATTTTTAGCGACCTCCAAACTCTCTGACCATCAGACAAGGTGGAAACTAGGCTCACATCTTGGGCCTCTACACCTCAGAAGACAGAGAGGCAGGCAGAGGCAGATCTATGTCAGTATGCGGTGGGACTGGGCTACATAGGAAGTTCTAGGACAGCCAGGGCTACACAGTCCTTGTCTCAACAAACAAACAAACAAAACAGGCGGGCGATGGTGGCGCATGCCTTTAATCCCAGCACTCGGGTGGCAGAGGCAGGTGGATCTCTGTGAGTTCGAGACCAGCCTGGTCTACAGAGCTAGTTCCAGGACAGGCTCCAAAACCACAGAGAAACCCTGTCTCGCAAAACCAAAAAAAAAAAAAAAAAAAAACCCAAAAAACAACTCCCCCTCCACAAAACAAAACCAAAAAGAAAAGAAAGTCTTGCAAAGGACTCAGTGCTTCCCAGCACCCACGTCTGGAAACTCGCACCCACCTGTCACTCAGCTCCAGGGGCCCCGATACCCTCTCCTGGTCTCCGTGGGCACCTGTCACTCAGCTCCAGGGGCCCCGATACCCTCTCCTGGTCTCTGTGGGCACCTGTCACTCAGCTTCAGGGGGCCCGATGCCCTCTCCTGGTCTCCGTGGGCACCTGCCACTCAGCTCCAGGGGACCCGATGCCCTCTCCTGGTCTCCGTGGGCACCTGTCACTCAGCTCCAGGGGACCCGATGCCCTCTCCTGGTCTCTGTGGGCACCTGTCACTCAGCTCCAGGGGGCCCGATGCCCTCTCCTGGTCTCCGTGGGCACCTGTCACTCAGCTCCAGGGGGCCCGATACCCTCTCCTGGTCTCTGTGGGCACCTGCCACTCAGCTCCAGGGGACCCGATACCCTCTTCTGGTCTCCGTGGGCACCTGTCACTAAGCTCCAGGGGGCCCGATGCCCTCTCCTGGTCTCCGTGGGCACCTGCCACTCAGCTCCAGGGGACCCGATACCCTCTTCTGGTCTCCGTGGGCACCTGCCACTCAGCTCCAGGGGACCCGATACCCTCTCCTGGTCTCTGTGGGCACCTGCCACTCAGCTCCAGGGGGCCCGATACCCTCTCCTGGTCTCTGTGGGCACCTGTCACTCAGCTCCAGGGGACCCGATACCCTCTTCTGGTCTCCGTGGGCACCTGTCACTCAGCTCCAGGGGGCCCGATACCCTCTCCTGGTCTCCGTGGGCACCTGCCACTCAGCTCCAGGGGACCCGATACCCTCTCCTGGTCTCCGTGGGCACCTGCCACTCAGCTCCAGGGGGCCCGATACCCTCTCCTGGTCTCTGTGGGCACCTGTCACTCAGCTCCAGGGGACCCGATACCCTCTTCTGGTCTCCGTGGGCACCTGTCACTCAGTTCCAGGGGGCCCGATACCCTCTCCTGGTCTCTGTGGGCACCTGTCACTCAGCTCCAGGGGACCCGATACCCTCTTCTGGTCTCCGTGGGCACCTGTCACTCAGCTCCAGGGGGCCCGATGCCCTCTCCTGGTCTCTGTGGGCACCTGCCACTCAGCTCCAGGGGACCCGATACCCTCTTCTGGTCTCCGTGGGCACCTGCCACTCAGCTCCAGGGGACCCGATGCTCTCTTCTGGTCTCCGTGGGCACCTGTCACTCATGTGCACATACCGCCCCCCCCATCCTAAAAATAAGTTCAAAGTATTGACCCAAGCCACCCTTCCCAGTGCCTGGGGCCCTTATGCTTCTTCCCCATCCCCACACTTCCCGGCAGGCTTTCTTCATGCCTTGGGCAGCAGGATCCATGGTACAAAGCACTCCTGCCTTGGTGGTGGCATGCTCAATGGCCACTGGCTGGACCTCCAGGATGAATACTGTCCCGTGAGTTTGTGCCAGCTTCCCTTCTAACCTTTTCTTTCTCCACAGAGCCTGCATGGTGACTGATCCAGGCCACACCCTGAACACCGGGGTCAGAAGCGCCTGCTTACCCCTGGGATCCTCCCCAACCGTCCCTTTTCCCCTTACTTTGCTTACTCTTGGTCCCATCCATACATTTTGGCTATGTGTAGCTCCTGTTGAACTTCTGCTTCAGAAATTCCTGTTTGATCAGAATTTCTACTGTCTGAGTTAGATTCCTCTCCTCCCTCGGGAGTCCAGTGGTGCGGAGCCATATTGTGTGAAGGAAAAGTATTAGCTACCAGACAGTGAGGAACGCAGGCATTACCGTAACTGCTCAGCTGTAAATGACTCTCTACAATGAATGTATCAGTATCACTCGACAAATAAGAAAAGTAGCACAACCCGAGACCGGCCTTGGCCAGTCTGTCCAGGGCATAGCCGTGACTTCCAACAGGCGCAACCAAGACGCAGCAGGACAGAGGCAAGCGCTCGGGTACTCCTCTTCAAGCAGCCGCATTACTCTCTACTGCCAAAAAAGGGCCGGCCCCAACCTTATTCCCAAATAGTAACAGCTTCTACTCCCTACAAGGCTGCGCACAGCGCTATGGCACCCTCCTCCCGTGAAGCAGCAGGAGACGTTGGAAGGGGACTCGGGATGGGTTCCAACACGAGGGAACAACATGATGCAACAACCTGATGCAGGCTCATCTTTCACAGTCTCGTCCCAACACTTCAGCACCTTCAAACCCAGTTTCCACGTTAGAAAAATGGAAAGAACCACCCTGTGTGTAAACCCACGGCTGTCACACACAGACACTTTAATACATTGCAAATGCACCTAACAAGGCTTTTTTGATTTCGGTTTTACACCTCAGATGAGGCTTAGCCCCTGGGGTTGGACGTCAGGATCTAGCCTGGGCCTTTGCGAATGTCTCTAATCCTTGAGTTAGTGTTTGCAAACTCATTCCATTCTGGATGTGAACGCAGGTAACACCTAGAACAAAAAGAAGTCACATTTTACCAGCTTTCAAGCCTCCTCGTTATAGTTCTCACCTGCCATCCATGATCCACCCCACACTTACTTTCCTAGGTCCTCCTAAGAACCCCTTCCTCACCCCCCAGTGACTCAGTACCCAGTTTGCCCACATCTATGATATTCCGCTTCTCGTCATCAAAGAAGACCATCTGGGAGAAAGGAACTCCAGTCTTATGGTGCAACCTGTAAAAGACAGAGCAGGGGCAACGCGCCTGGTAAGCTGGCTCACCTGACCTCCTCTCAGGTCCGCCTCCTGCTCCCACCGTTAGCCGTCTGCCTACCTCTCAAAGTGTGTGACTTTGCTACCTGGATAGATTTCCCGGTGAACAAAATATTTGATGAGGTCAAAGAGCTCCAGGAGTTGGTTGGCCCCTTCGGTCTCACCTGTCCTGGAAAAAACAAAAACAAGCAAACACCAATGAGTGGCATTAGGAGAGTGCTGTCATGCCCAAATCCATGGGGACCCCACAAAAGCCAACAAAGGAGACCGAGTCCCATGTGTAAAAGCAAAGAGCCTTTATTTTAATCAAGTTTGCACACTCGGTCTCTCCGCACGTCCAACGTATTGGAATATCCAGAGAGCCCCGAGCTCAATTAGAATTGGGTTTTTATAGTGGTAAAGGTGGGGGTGACGGGTCTCCAAGGTTCAGGACTCCTGATTGGCTGACATTTGATTAGGGGTGTCCTGGTGAAGTGCTGGCAGGTGTTTTTATCTACAGTGCTTGGAATGCCAGGAATTTTCTTTGAATGGTCTGCTCTTGGGTGGGGGTCGGGTAATCTCGGCCTGCCAGGCTTCGTCTCAGGATAAACTGTTGAGACTACAGACTCCATTTAAATTTATTGATGGCCAGAGTTCCAGGTGATAATGGTTGGAGGTAAAGAAACTTCCTTTGGATGACCTGCCCAGACTTAGCTTAACGTGGCTGGCTCTCACAAGTGCCAGGGATGCAGGTAAAATTAGATATATGGGGGTAGGGGGACCGATTTGCTCACTGTTATTCAATACCAGAGATTGTGAAATAGCTGGCTCTGAGCCAATGTTTAATCATTTAAAAGAACAGAAAGCAGGCTGGAGAGATGGCTCAGCAGTTAAGAGCACTGGTTGCTCTTCCAGAGGACCCAGGTTCAATTCCCATCACCCACATGGCAGCTCACAACTCTCTTTAACTACAGTTCCAGGGGACTTGACACACTCACCAATGCACATACAATAAAAATTTAAAAACAAAAAATCTTTTTGCCAGGCAGTAGTGGCGCACGTCTTTAATTCCAGCACTCGGGAGGCAGAGGGAGGAGGATCTCTGTGAGTTCGAGGTCTGACTGGTCTACAAGAGCTAGTTCCACGAGGCCAGCCTGGTCTACAAGAGCTAGTTCCAGGACAGGAACCAAAAGCTACGGAGAAACTCTGTCTCGAAAAATAAAAAAAAAAAAAAAAGAGCTAGTTCCAGGACAGGCTCCAAAGCTACAGTGAAACCCTGTCTTGAAAAAAACCAAAAACCAACACAACAACAAAACTAAAAAAACCAGAAAGCATAGGATAGAAAAACAACCAAATATTTGTACGTTTGTACCGCCTAACTTTTGGTTCTCCACGCAATTTCCTCATGAGTCTCCACTCAGCAGGACTGCCTCTTTTCTTACCGTGAAGCAGCGGCCACTGGCACTCCAAGGCTCTGCAACCTTTCCAAGACTTCCGGTACCTCCGGGTATAGTCTGATGTTCTGGCCCCGCCTATCTCGTACGGTTCCATCGCTGGAGAGGGCGACACACGCTCAGCTCCCGCGAAGTCCCTCCTAGCCCCTTACCTCCCTCTCGTCTCACCTGCTCTTGTGGAACGGGGGGTCTACGTGTGTATCAACCCAGAAAGGCCAGAGCGTGTAATCTGCGAGAGGAAGGAGGGAGAAGGATCAACCTAGAGGAGCGCAGACACTTAGCCAACGCCAGGAGTGGGCAAGGGAAGGGCCGTACGAAACTCTCCCTGCTGTTCCTCACCCAGATCAAAAACCGCAAGCTTTGGCAGCGGCGTCATGATCCACCCGCAAAGCCAAACTCAGCACCGAGAGCAACCCAACTCTATGGTGGCCAAGTAGGCTGTGGGCGCGCCACAGGGAACCGGCAACGCTCGGGTGACTAGAGTGTCGCCGTCCGACAGCTCAAGAGCGCCTTCGGAGGCTCTGCGGGGAGATTACCTGCAGCGGGTGACGTCTCCCCGCAAGGCACTGGCCACTAGTATTTGGTGTCTTGTCTACACCACCCAACTCACCACTTTTCACTAGAGAAGTCACGGAAACCTTTTCGCACTTTTATCTTGGAATTGAGGCCTTATCAGTTTATTATTTTGTGCTCATCTTGTCTTCCCATCAGAATCTTAACTGTGTAAAAACCAGTCTTCAGCAACAGCGAAAGCATAAAGAATATAGTGTCTGCACCCCGTGATGTGTGCCTGAACCTCAGCTGTACACGGAAGGCCTAAGGGAGTTACTTGTACCTAGGAATTGAGCTCGGCAGGGCGATGAGGGGTGGAGGGTGTAAAACCCGAGAGGGTGGTCTCCAAGCCAGCAGAGCAGGGCTGCTGAGCGAGAGCGTTTCTTCCCTAGGTTTCTAGCATCTTCATCAACAGTAGTAGGCTGCTATTCCCTTCAACACTGTGAAGAAAATGAAGCCTTGGGTTTTTGTCTTTAAAAGGCTTCTAAAAAACAAAACATGGTTTTATGTGATACTTTTTGCTGTTGAGCTCAGGGCTAGCCTTGAACTCCTGTCCCTACATCCTAAATGATGGGATTATAGGTACACGTCATAACACCAGGCTTTCATGTGACACTTCATATTATCACAGCACATGTTCACTTCAGTAAGCAGACACACGTGTCCCACAATATGTACAATGTGTAGATGTTCCATGATGGCCTCATTTTTCGAGATAGGGTTCTTCTCTGTAGCCCTCGTGGGTTCTGGAACTTGCTCTAGGCCAGGCTGGCCTTGAACTCACAAATCCACCCACCTCTGCCTCCCAAGTGCTGAGATTAAACCACGACTCAGCTTGCTCTGGAATTCTCGATTCTCATGCCTCAGCCTCCCAGGTGCTGGAATTACAGGCCTCAACCACCACACCTAGCTATTCGGAGGCAACACTTGGCACTCATGAGCTAGTTAAGAGTTGACTACAACAGAACACCGGGCAGGCTTTCCTAGTCTAATCCTCCTTCTAAGGACGAGGGCCAAGCACTACGTGGGCTTGTTTCTCAGGTGGAGTGCAAAAGCAGGCTAAACTGGCGTTTAGAACTTTGAAGAATTAATTCCTCTGGGTTCAGTGTGTCCATCTATACACAGAGAGATGACAACACCCCTATCCGGATCCTTTGGGATAATGGGGTAGAATATTTTCCAGTTGAAAGGCTATGCTGAAGCCAACTGATGGGCATGCCTGGGATATGGTTCAGAATAAAGAATGTGCCAGACTGATGGCATATGCCTTTAATCCTAACACTCCGAAGGCAGATGGGGATCCATGTGAGTTTGAGGCCAGCAAGTGCTAGGCCCTAGCTGGGGATACAGTTAGGTCCCCCACCCCTATTCTCAACACACCACCCTTTCACTGTCCTGCCTACCACTGTGTCCATTTCTATTTCAGTCACGTGTGTCGAGAAGAAAGAATCCAGGAGGCCAGGAAATATTTTATTGACAACCAAGGTTATAGTCATAAGAGAGGGAAGCACACAGGACTGCAAACTAAAACCCAACAGCCAGTAATGGTCATTTGGGCCAGGAGCACTGCACCCTGGTGTCCTCACATTCTCCCACCAGTAGACACACAAGACTGGGCATCCAAGGGAGGGGGCAGAAGTTCTGGTGTCCCAGAGCGTGAGAGGATATGTGATGCTTCATTATGAGCGACAGGGCAAGGAGGTAAAATGGAACTGAGGTTCATCACTGCCCAAGACCACCTCCTCCTCTAAGAGCCAACACTAGGTGGAGGACTGAACCACCTAGGATCTTATAATCAGCTGCTGTCTTCTCATCATTCCTAGAGGAAAGAAAAAGCATCAGAAATGCCATCTAGAACAGGCATCTGTAACCTGGGCTTGGGGATCTCTTTGGGAGGCCTGTGAAATTGGGTGAGAAAAATATTCCTTTATTTTTATTAGTTCCTAGCTATAATTAGTATTTAATTTGAACAAAGACAAAGAGACCCATGGTGTTAACAATATGGTAACTTACACAACAGAAATTAAATACTTCTAAATTACATTATAACTGTAGGTATCTTGAAAAATTAAAAAAAAAGC